AAACAAACATAATCGTTCGTTATTTCTAGAATACTTTTCGTATCATTGTAACAGAAAATTAACGTCAATTCCTGGAAACTAGATTTACCAGTAGAACCTTGGGCAAACTAATTGTTTAAAACCCTATCAAGACTGGTAGTCTTAGAGGTTTAATTAAATTTCAAAATGTAAAAACAATAACTTGAACTCTATTTCAACAATTTCTTTTACTCAAAAATGATTTATAATTGATATTATATCTTTCTGTAATATTTATTTTCTTTAATTTAATCCTCGAAGAAAAAAGAAAAAAAGTTCCATCTTTCATTTCTGCACAACTTGTCTGTAAACAATGCACTTATCGATTTGTTTTTGGAAAATGTTCCGCCTCTCCCAAATATAGGTTTATATTTGCTAAGAAGCTATCATCTCATAAAAATAAGATTATTATTGCATGTATAGTACGTGTTTTTTCCCCTTCTTTATTAGTTATTTTATTGCTACTGTCTTTCTTTGTCACCCTAGCATGTGGTCTCTACAATTACTGATAAAATTCAGTTTTGCATATATAATCCATTTGGAAACAGCTAAAGTCCAACTCTAAATAAGATTGGATTGAACAGGTTATAAACTATCAAACATCTAGTTGGTGAGAATGTACGCTATAGTCAGTATGAGAAAAACTTATACACTGTATAAGTGAAGTGATGAAGAAGTATCCTTGGCCACTATTCAGTTCTTCACATTATATAGTCGCAGAATAGCAGGTATAATAAATAAACTTGGTATTCCGAAAATTGTTTAATCTCGAAGTCTGAGTTCAGTCTACACTTTGATCAACTTATTTTATTGGGTTTTACTAGTTTCGGAGAATTCCACTTCCCATCAGTAACCCTGAACACAAGTTAACCAAGGAGAGATAAGCTGGACCTATATCACAGTGAAAAGTATCAAACATATAGTTGGTGTGAACTATCTTTATAGTCACTATGAGAAAACTATACACTGGATAGGTCAATGTATAGTAAATAATGTGGTTGGAGTAGTAATTTATGTTTTCCATAGGTGTTGACTAACAAGAAGTCCTGCAAGAATTTACTATTTATTTTTAGTTTGAAAACTACAGATTTTTTTTTATATGTTACATTAGGTAAGCTTATTTAGGCTTAGCTAGAATGGAAGGCGAAAGACAAATCTTAAATGACTTGTATTTATGACAAAGCTACTAAGACTTTCTGCCGCTGTCCCTAATTTGAAAGCACCGTACCACCCACGCTAAGGGATTTCTCTCACTCTTATAACGCATCTATAGCTAAAATGTGAGGAATATTTTGTAGTATCACAACGATTCGAACCCGATTCGACAGCTCTGAAAACAAGATCTCTACTATAGTGTCAACCCGCGTCCTTTGCGATGACTCAAATTCGCATTTACTCTACATTATTGTTAAATTTATCGTACTCAAACAACGCGCACAAATAAACTTATTACTTAGGGAAAAGAAACTATATTTGTTAGATATAAATTGATCTCGGCCAAGAACGATGTCACGACACCTAGCGTTGGTTATATTTATAGCCGTGGGAAGGTTTGTTTCTTTGTTTGTAATTAAGCACAAAGCTATACAATGGGCAATCTGTGCTTTGCCAACCACGGGTATCGAAACCCGGATTCTAGCGTTGTAAGTCCGTAGACATACCGCTGTGCTACTGGGGGGCCCTGACAAAGGTAAAGATAACGTCTTTTTGAAAGTTAAGGTTCTACGTCATTGTTCTTTTTTCAGTTTTTACATATTTTATATAATCTATAGTTGGAAATGATGAATATTGCCATAGGGAAAGTAAAGTATCAGAAAAAAAAGTTAATAAATATTAATTAAGCTGAAACTTATTAAAAATATAAAATGGAACTTTTTATCAACAATAAAAAAATTGAAATTCTGAGACAAAAAGGAAATATGTTTAATGTTTATTTCAAAAAGTGCCTCACAACAAAATTTTAGAAACTTCACAACTTCAAAACTATAGAAATACAGAATAAAATTATATGCATATTTATGTTTCAAAACTAGATACTATTCTATATAGTATATAGTAAGTTTTATGCAATTTGGTTAAATGTTTCCACCGAGGACAGAAAAAAAATCAGGGAATAAGAGTGATATATCTCTGGTCCAGAATAAAGGGATCGTCCGAACTTATTGAAACAGCGTTTTTACTGAGCAATAAAACACATTTGCTTACATTATATTTGTTTGTGTGCAATTAAGCACAAAGCCAATAGAATGGGCTATCTGTGCTGTGTCCACCACGATTATCGAAACCCGGCTTTTAGCGTTATAAGACCACAGACATACAGCTGAGCCACTGGGAGTATTACATTATGAAATAAACCATTTATACCTTGATTAGCTTAGAGTTGTAGCTTTTAGTAATCTCTACTTGAGAGTAAGTTATTATTTATAACATCTCTATATAAGATTTCTTTGATCATTAATCTCAATTTTTCACTTTTTTATTTTATTTTATAGAGAATATTTACTTTCTTTCACTTGTGCTAGGAAACCTCCATTTTTGATTAGTGCCAAGTATGACACCTGTTTAGGAACTTTGTTTCGACACCTTCTGGGCCCGGCATGGCCATTTGGTTAGGCCATTT